GCTTTGCTACTCGATTAGGGATGACAGCTTGAAACTAAAAATGCTAATTTGATTGTCTGGGCTCTTAATTATATGGTTTCCCATAAGCTCTAAAAGGATGAACGTCCTGGGTAGATTGCAATGTTATATGAAATGCTGGTATCGAATAATGGAAATAACTCTTGCGGGAATAAGAGCGAAGGAGAACGGAAAAGTGTTTCCATTAATTTAATTTGCTATCAAACAATAACGCGGATATTATGGGACTTTGGTATTTGAGGAATATAAATTATATGAAGATGGAAGTCTTCTACACAAGATTATCTTAAACTCATATCCAAAAGCAGCAGTTTGAAGATAAATGATGCCTTTTTAAAGAATATGCAACTTGAAACTCGAAATGTTTGAGCAATCAACAGTCTTAATTCAAAACTTTTTAGATACGAAAGCACTTCTCTCAGTGAGAATAAAGTGATAATGGATGCTGATTGAAAGAGAAATTTTTTATTGAGATGACTGACAGTTAGCCAACAGTGACTCATCGCATTCAACTGCTGCTATTGCTGAACTGACGGTGATGTTGATCACTTACTGCTGTGAACAACTCATGAAGACATTCGAAGCATCAAAACAAATTAGCTAAATTAGTGTTGGACAGCTTGGACACGACTCCCTTCTTCCACCTCACTTTTCTATATCGTCTTTATGGTCATTGTCAACATTCTTTAATGACAAATCCTAATGATTTAGCTTTGAAACAAAGGTCATTTCATTGGCACTCAACAATAAATTGCGGAGTCTTAGCCACTCCATCCTCACTTTTATTAAGATGAAATTTACTTGTTGTTAATTCAAATCAATTAATTACAAAATTTGAAAAAAATAAAGGTAATTTCATTTTTTTTGAAATCCCACAAAAAAGGCTTTGATAACCGAATTATTGTTTACAAGATAAAGTTGATCTTTTCCTCATTCAACTTAGTCGAAATACTGTGAATTTTATTTTAAGAGAGATTATTAATCGATATTTTAAGATGTGTTCTGTCATTTGAATAATCAATATAAAAATAAAAATCTTTAACAGTGTATTCGTATCGTGTAAGAGGAAACAAGTAAACAAATACTGAGGCTATCAGTCATGGTAATTTAGTTGCTTTTACAATTTGATTGATATTGAAGGTTTCGGAAAAGATTTGTTCTATCTTTCATATATTTTACTCTCTGATCAAATAAACTGTCAAAAAAAAAATTCTATAAGTTTACTTATTTTGTTTATGAGATGAGCTAAACCAAACATAATGTATTAGAATGACATCCGATAGAGACGACTTCAAGAAGGACTCTAATCAAAACAGGAGTGAGTGAACGAACTAAGTTTTTAAAGAAAAAATCGAATAAGGAAGACAACAGTACCAAAGAATCGCAACATACTGAGATTTTAAAGAGGACAGAAGAAGCAATGTTGTTAATTTAATTCAAACAGCGAATTACAAGTGGGTACCCATATGTTAATAACTCATTCTTTCTCGAGATGTTGTGGTCGACACTTGAACCTTTTACTTCTGTGCTGTTTATGACGACCAAATTTTACAATTTAGTCTCACGAAGTTTCGCAGAAAGATGGGTAAACTGATGCTTTGTTGAAGTTAAAATTTCCTCAATCATTTCGAGAATGAATACTACTGAAATAATGCCTTTTTATCTGATCATGCAAATGTTATCATCCATTAAATTAAAGCTTTATTAATTGGTAGATGGATCAATGAATGATACTACTCAGTTCTTCAAATTGTAAGCAAAACTAAAGTTGGCTTCACTTACTGTACCAACTTATAAAAAACATAGATATCGTAATAACATATCAATTTGAAAATGCCAATTTTTTTACAGTTTTTTTTGATATTAAATTATTTTTTATGGCATCAATTATTATTAACTTTAATTAAAAGGTACACGCCCAACCATAGGTTATATTTTTAAAGTCATTATGAAAAGATTTTAAATTATATAAAAACGGGATGCACTGGAAAGCTTTTTGAGGAAGGTAATGAACCTATATGAGTGCGGATCGAAGGTTTCTACTCAAATTTAGTTGAGGAAATGACACAAACATTGACAGTTATTTCAAACATATTCATTCGAATGCCAACAAACCCATTACTAAAATTAATATATATCCATAATCCGAACAAATTAGCATATTAAAAGACCCATTCTATAAACGTACAAAGGTGCTCCACAAGGAAATCGAAAAGATCCGCTCGCAGCAGGACATGGCAGGGCTGTCGTAGATCGATCGACTGAATCGGTAATCGTTGCGGCACTTATTTGACTTCAACAAGATAAAGATATTATCCATTTTTATTACAAGAAATATTACATGAAGACTTCTGTAATTAGTTCTACTCTTTTTCCCAACCATTCCTCTCAAATGACTCATAAAATTGTTGATTCTTGAAGTAATTGTAGATATTACTTGCACTAGGTCACGATCTCATAGTACAATGAAGGTAAAATTAATTTCTGACATTAACTTCTTGCTGAACAGGCTACAAGTGTATGTTGATTTGAATACTAGGTTCAATGGTATGCATCACGTCAGTTCAATCAATCATGTATGCATGATCATACCTTTCCATCACAGAAATCTCAGTCCGATTCTTTTCATTTAGTTTATTCCTCCTGTATCATAAAAATCACTGCAAGCTTCCCATGGCTTTTTAAATTGAAAAATATATCAGGTACCAGAATTAATTAATCCATTGGACAAATTCAATACAAATTTTAGGGTCTTGCCATAAAAATTGACTGACTGTCTTCCTGAATAATCCATATTACTTTCCGAACTAAATTGAATTCTTGGTTACCTTTACGCAGAGATATACAATCACTTATAGCAGGACTTCGAATGTTTTCAAAAAAAGCTTTGATGACAGCATCTAAAATTTTATGAATTTATGAACGTTACCGTTTCATTTCCATTTTATTTTGAATATTTCGTAGACCTTTTGTTGTTGTCATACATAATGAATCTTGAAATTGGAAGTGATTTCAGTTATGTTTCTAATATGTAAGAGATGGACGAAATATTTCTTGCAATCTAAGCAAAGTTAATCAAGAGATAAGTAAAAACTGTTTGCTTATTGATTACTGCTTACAGCTTAATTATAAGCACTTCAATGAGCAATAATCAATTTGAATTCACCGATTTCTGTACAACTGAGGGAACATTACACGAGTGGTGCATGAAATTGTTTTAGTCAACATAAAGATGTGTGTTATATTTGTATCGTTATAACAATGAATATTAACAATTTATTTTGAACTATCCCAACTAATTAAGAAGGTGTACATATATGTCTTTTGTTAAGGCATACGATGAAATCTTTCAGTAATATAAATAAAATTTGCTCAGAGAGAGAGACAATTCCTGTGTCGCTAAATGTGCATTATCGTTTACCAGCAGAAAATGCTAAAAGGCAAAGAGAACAAACAAGATGATTCTGCTGGTAAATAAAGTTAAAGTAATTGAACACTCGACAAAAACGAAGTTAAACAAAGAGCTGGAATTTATTTTTGTCATCGAAAGCTCAGTGAACTCAGTTGCATTAACTCTGAAAAACTCAAGTCTTTCACACTAAAATCGAAATATCTGTATGCATAGAAAAGATTGCTTCCGAAATGGGAGTTTACAAATTTTAGTTAATGGAGAAGCAATTGACGACATTAGAAGTGTGCGTATTTTGTGAAGAATAAACTAAACTAATGAATGAAAGATTGTCTTATTGTCTTATTTCACATAGGAAAAAAGTCTACCATTACTAGTAGTATATAGATATTTCTACCGGTATATCGGAAACCGGTAGATAGTTATCGTTTCACAAATACTTGGAGACCAGTATGATGTATTACGAAACTCGAGATAAGTCTCGCGAACCTCCAAATAACTTATAAATTATATAAATAAAATTGCATTACTCTCTGGAAACCAAAGATTGTCTTATTTCACATAGGAAATCCATTATATTTGTCTCTCTAATGCATTGTAAACGAGATCAACAGCGTTTTGTTAGATTGATCACTCTGCAAGTCAACTGCTTATTGTAGATCACACACGTTGTTTTTGTGTACTGTTATATAAGAATGTCACTTATATTCAAGAGTGCATAGTTTTGCCAAGAACCAAATACGACCATCGCCAGCAATCGCTAAGTTCGATTCTTTTTTTTTCTATTTTTTATTAATAGTATTCCTCATCTCATATTCATAAGCGAATATTACGAACTTATAAGCATATTTGTAATGTGTTGTGGTTAAATCGAATAAAATTTTCACGAGACGGTGTGTCAGACATATTTCGATTAATTTTATCTTCATCCTTCGGTAGTTTTAAGCATGATGAAATAATGAAATAACATAATTTTTTAGGGGATAAAATTCAGAGACCGCACCATAAGAGATTAGGAACGCCTGCTGTAAGAAAATACATTAGGAACATCGGATGTAAAAGGAGAACAAATTATGAAAAAGAAGAAACATAATTTAATAGCCAAGGACAGCAAAAAAAAACATACAAAGTTGAGTCGTAGTATGGTAAAAGAAATGAAATTATTGGCAGCGTAATAATAGTGACAAATTTCCTTGAATAGTCCTTAAAAGAAATTCTCAAAATATGACGCGAAACTCCCACTAAAGATACGTTGTAACGGTGTAGGCTTGAAAAAGTTCAGAAGTTATCGGAATTATTTACCTTATTTAATCTAACTATTATTAATTCTTAAATATGATGAATGCTAACGTATTATAACAAAAAGTTCAAAACTAAGTAGTTTTTTCAGAGCTAAGAGAAACGGCAACTCTTAAAAGTGTGATCTGTCAAAAAAAGTTAGCAAAATATGACTTATGCAGAAAAAATATTTTTAAGTCTGAGATATTTTTGAAATTTACTTAAATATTAGTTTTTCAAAAATACTATGAAAAATTCGCAAGGTGGGCATTCTTTGATGGGAAAAGGGGGATTTTTATTGTCCTGTTTGTATTGTTTTCTGCGTATGCGTTGCACGTTCGTCACCATCTTTGTTGATCAGAGTCGTAACAACGTTTGCACCAATACCCCACGTATTTTCGCCATCGTACACCAACGATTCCGGTGGACTGTGTATACCTCCTTGATCACGTGCCCAAATCTAGCAAGACGGAAATTTATTAGTTGCAAGAATTGATTTATCCATTTTTAGAACAATTCATTTCTACAAATTCTAGGCTAACACATGGTTAACTTATATCACTCATACCTAAGCAATGCATCATTATTTATGAAACAAAATTCTCGAACTTATAGGACAGATAAGAAATGAATCTTTTTTCCACCATAGCTGAGCACACTGTCCGAATGCTCATGAATGTATGTTATGTATATATACCTTCATTGTACGTCCAGCTTTCAAAACTGTATTCGGTGGAATAATGTAAACAATTTCTCGGCGATTGTCAAGTTTCCTTCGGAGTTTATGCTCACCAAGATTTTCATCCTGAAATGAATGAGAAAGACGGTGGCTTCTTCAAAGTTTGGAAGATCTATTTTGATAGACTGGGAAATTTCTTAAAACAGCAGGCGTTCATGATAAATACTAATTAGAATTAAACATTGATGTTTCTGGAATCTTTTGAACTAATAAGTACTTACCTTGCTTCTGTGACTGTTCTCAAGCATGATGAATTTTCCGTTTGGATCACATTCAGCAATAGTAACATTCCCTTTAGCTGAGCGTTGGAATGTTGTCTTAGTAGAAACTTCACCACGTACGCTACGTGTCGAATCCGTATCTTCTTGCTGCTGTAATGAATGTGTCTTCACCACTTGTTCAACCATTTGACGGAGACCAACACTGAAATGTCACAGATACTTAAACGCAAAAACAGTAAATAGTTGCATTTATCACAAAATTTATCCTTTGAAATTTCGCTTTTGGAGGAATTTGGAGTTACCTCATTTATATAAATGGAGCTGTTTCAGTTTTTATTAAAAACCTTTCATTGGAAAGATCAAGACACCTGTAGTCAACTGTTTAACTTGTCGATTTAAATGTTCCTAGTTCCTAACTAAAAAATCACTGGGATAACAGCCCAAATATCAATATCTGGCAGCAGTGTACAGTGTTTAACGAAGCTTATATTTGTAAATATAAAATTAGGAACTTGGAGGGTCCAAATATCTAGAGAAAAACGGAATTCCGGAATTTTCAGTTTCTGAAATTTTTTTTCTAATTTAAGTGACTGAGACAGCGAAATACTGGTGAATGACACTTACCGACTCTCCTCACCCTCTAGCATCTTCCGATAAATAGCAATTTCAGCATCTAGCATTTGCTTGGTATCAAGCAGTGCTTGTAATTCAGCCACCAATGTTTGGCATTCCTCGCGCATACGACGAAGAGTTGCATCGCGATCGTTTAAAGCTGCTTCGTACTGTCTCTGATCGTCATTGAGCTATAATTCCTGGCGATATGAGTTCGGACAGAAAATAAAAAACAGCAAAACTTTAGCGATCATGTTCAAATGTCTAATTCCCAAGTTATGTCAAAATGATTGAGCTTTTATGAAACTATGGAAGATCTGTCATTGTAGTGTGTTTGGAAAAGATTTAAACTTGATAGTAATTGTCACTTTATTGTAACAGTCACCATACCTGATTATTCAAGCTTTGTACTTCCTTTTCAAGCAACGCATTTTTGGCTTCAAGGTCACCGAGTTTACCACGAAGATCACCAATATTATCGCGCATTCGTTTCACCTCTTCACGTTGATAATTTGCTTCAATGTTGGCACGATTTGCAGTGCCTTGCACCTCTGACACCTAAGATCATGACAATCATCAAAAAAACATGTTTAACTTAAGAGTCCAATACAGAAACTTCGGAGATTGCTCCACCTCAACATCTTAGTTATTTTATTCAACAAAGTGATGACAAGTTTATGCCTTCGATTCTAAACTAGCTATGAAGTTCAGTTGCTTGATGCATAGTTCTCACAAGAAATTTATACCTTCAATTTATACCAGCTTTCCATATCTTGCTTTCCTTGTTTAGCAATGTAATCATATTCATCCTTAATATCACGAATAGCTAAAGCGAGTTCATTTTTAAAGAATTCACGAGTATCAGCTGGAGCTTGAGCTAATAGAGCTTGCAGCTCCTTAACCTCCTGCTCATGTACACGTCTCAAAAATTCCAATTCTTCCATTAGCGTTTGTACTTGATTTTGGAAATCAATTCGTCCTAAGGTTTCTTCATCCAGATCCTATAATCTCTCTTTTTAACTGAATTGAAATTTCAACAAAAAATTCGAAAAGTAATCAGGAGAAAAAACATCGGACTGAGTAAAGAATACTTTTTGGATTCATAAATTTCGCCTTTTCACTTCAGTTGTGCACATTGTTCTAACCCGAATTGAAGTCATCGTTGTATGTACTATGAATCCATTTCTGCCAGTCTAATGAGATCCCGAGAAGCATCAAACTACTCACATTACGAGCTTTTTGAAGTTCCTCCCATATGCGAGCATTATCACCGTTTAACCGTTTCTCTTCATCTGTCAGCTGACGCCAACGAGCTCGGAGCATTTCCAGTTCACTTTGAGCGTCATCAATTGCATGTTGCCACTGGTTAATCTTTTCGCGATCGTTCTCACGACGATGCTGGACGTCTTCATAGCTAAAATAAAAGTACAATTACGTTTGAAAATGAAAAATGAAATTAAATCAAAAATGATTTGTAGAGAGTATAGCTAGAGCATTTCTAACTTACCAACGACTTTTGCAATATTTTTATGATTTCACTTCAAAATATATAATAGTTAAAGGAGGAAGGTAGGACATTTCTTTTTTCTTTCCTTAAATTTTTTAAGAGAACTGTCATCGGTGATCTTTTTTATTTCTTAATAGACACCAAGTTATAGTTTAAGAGAGCTACGAACCGGCTACGAATTTCCGCAAGGTCATCTCTGAGCCGTGCTACTTTGACATCAATTTCAGCCTTCCGTCTTGCACCATCATCAATCTCTTTGCGAGCATCACGTAATGAGTCTGAGTACTGTATCTGAAAAGAATCGTTGCCTCTTTTTACAAAAATTTCACTTTTTGTTGACTCTATTATATCTAAGCGAGCGATTACTCGATGATAACTTAACTACTCCTCTTCAGTATTACATTTGTAACGATGAATCTCGGTCTTTAAAAAGTACATCAGTGTTACAAAATCTAATTTTTCCTGAAAAAGTAATAGCAAATTATCAGAACATACTGTGCTAATCATAACTAAAGAAAAATGTAATGTCTCGGTAGAATCAGTTTTTAAGTAATTGTTGTTTTTTTTTTTTGAAATCATATAAAATTTCAGGAAAAACATCAAATAAAAGTACCAGAAAGTTCATGTAAGAGATATGGATGTTAAATGCTCGACAATAATCCATGATAGTAAATTAGTGTCTTAGGTAATCCTAAACGAAGCGGAGCATTGGGTTAATTAGCTGGCCATGACTACTTAAATATATTACTTTAATGGGTGTACCACAATGATCCGACTACATCTTCCATGCCTTCTCTCTCATCCTATCTGCCTTACTTTTTCCAATTCTACATGAAATTTTCACTTCCGTTAGTTAATATTATCAAAAGCTAATTCACCTTAAAAGCTAAGCATTTTCGAACAAAAACACTTCTAGAAAGTTGATAAAGCGTTGATAAAAACCCAAGAAATTAGAAAGAAACGAATCATAACCTTTGAAAAAGTTTAAATCTTCTAGAACAAGATCTTATAGAAGGGTAAAATATTTTTCTAAAAAATATTCTAAAGATTATGACGCTGCCACCATGTGTATTTCAAAATCCTTTGCAAAACCTCTCCACACATATGTAAATGTTCCATATTTCTTCAATCTCTCAGCACATATGTTTGTCTTTTAAATGAATTCTCCGACAGTGTCAATCTTCCCACACGCATTCGTATTTTTGAAAAATTTTTACTGCTCAGTGGAGTTTTTGGAAACTTAAAATTTCAACCTTAACTTTCGTTAATTTTCGTTTTTAAATGAAATAAACGTATTAAAAGATTCTTTAGTTTTCAGCCATTATTTTTAATGCTAATGAATATTTTGACAATACCAAATAGTTCCACTAAGTTTTTTAACTATGAGTAAAAGTACTGACTTTAACTAAACTGATACAGAGACATGGTTGCTGATGACAACACTAAAGTACCAACCATATACGGCATATCACCCTCGCTTCTCATATTGTATATTAATGAAAACAAAAAAGTTCGGGCTGATTTAAATAAACGAAACCTTCCAAGCAAACGATCCTTTTTCGCTTGTAACGAAGTGACACCTAAGTTAACTTCATTTCTGAAGGATATTTCTGAAGAATATTCCTTTGAGTGAAAATCGCTTAGACAAAAGATTCATCCAGCTATTTCTGGATTTCCATAAGACGCATTTTTTTTTTACTACTTTTCGATTGTATGGATATTTTACAAATCTTACCTTGATTTCACTGGTATCTTTTCCCCATCGACCACGCAACTCTTCGAGATCAGCAACCAGTTTTCTATTCTGTTCCTCCAGTTTTTTCACCCGATCAATATAATTTCCAAGCCTGTCATTTAGTCCTTGCATTTCCTTTTTTTCTTTATCGGTTGCTTCAAGGAATGATTTTGCGGCATTTGCACTCAACGCTGGACTAATACCGCCAATAGATGCTGAACCCATCTCGGTGACCATTTTTAGCACTCGACCTAAACCTTTTAAAATGAATCAAAGTTGAATTCGATAGAATCTGGCTTCTGGTAGAGAAGTAAGCAAATCTAGAAGCTTTTACTCCAATAAATAATATCTGCATTTTCCATATAAAGAATGCTAAGGATTGTTATGGAAATTAAATCTTCAAGAAGCTCAGTGCATTCATTCATAATTGGGAAACAAACACAGATGGAAGTTTGACATGAAAATATATCAAACAATTGTGCATTTTTTGGAGCATTCTAAAAATTAAGAAAATCCCGATTTTACGCTTTTATTAAAGCATAAAGAGTCTACTTTCTATTCATTGTTAATTAACTCACCTCCACTGGCTCCAGGTAACGACCGAATTGTGTCACTTGAATACATCATTATTCTCTTTGAATATAACTACAGAATGTGATGACAGCAGATTAATAGTAACAGGGACTGGTCAAATAGTAAATTTGAATATCACAGGCACAATTAAGTTCCCTCACTATCCCTCACTATAAAATAAGCAAAATTAGAAGAAAAAGTGAGATCGAAAGATGAGAATCGACAAATACATTTCACTTCGACCTAAGATAAACTCACAGATCTTTAAAAAATATACTTTTCTGACACTATTTAAACTGCTCGCGTATACCAGCTTGAAAACTATGATTCATTCATTTAAGCAAAGTATTAGCAATTATTTATTTAGTTTTTTTTTTTTTTTTTTTTTTTTTGGTGAAGGGGGATTCTACAACAAGCCGACACTTTCTGATGATTCATTAATTTAAATTCCATCAGCGCCTAGCAGAATCCATCCGCAATCAAAAATCTCGCTCCAGATGTTCAATAGTCGACATACTACTGAAGGTAGTAATAGAATGATGGTAATAATGATGTAATTGGCTTTAAAATAACATTACTGATTGGTGGTAGAAAAAGTTACCAACCACTGAACCACTGCTACTATCACCAACGGCCACATCGAGAATTCTGCTCAGCAATTCTTGTGTGTTATGTGACACTAACTGATGATAAGAACGAGAATGCCGATACATGACTACTGACATACAGGAATAAATGCACGCATATACACACATACATTCACGAATGCACATGCGGACGCACACGCATGGACAATTCATACACCATAATCATTTCTATTTCGCTCCTACCTTTCTTCCCATGACCTTATCAGTCTTATCAGGGCATCTTTGAACTGATGATTGAAAGATACTGAATAGAACGATTAGATTTTCAATGGCTTCTGCGAAACAAATGTAATATATTTAGGTTAAAGTATGCTAATATAGCACTTATCTCTAGAGTAATTTAAATGATGGAAGTGAATATGATAAAGATTTTAGTTGACGTAACTTTGCTTACTTAGTTCTAAGTGTTTAGACTTGAGATGATTTGATAAAATACTGCGCGAAAATTCAAATCAATGTTAATTATTTGATTATTTGCTTTAAATCATGCAGTCTGATCAATATATTCGACTAATTTGAACTAACTGATCTAAGCTAATCTCAGCTAGATTAGTCTGTATAAGGTTACTTGTTAAAATAAATGGAATTTTATCGAGAAGACAACTCTATAAATAATATCAGCAGCACGTTATAATAAACAACTGGCAGTTTCATAGCAGCACAGAAAGACCCCATCATCGGTTAGTGTCAACAAGGCAGAACCTACGTATCATCTACCTGTCCTTGTATGCGTAACCCTCTCATATATATCATTCTGTTGGGGCGCAATCATTCCTCTCTCTCTATGTGTATGTGTGTTTGTATCTGTACCACTTGCATGTTTTAAAGTAACTATTAATTGTGCAAGATTGCGTGTCTAATGTTCAGTAACTTATTGCAGGAGGACAGCTGCCGTGGACACCTACTGGCAATCCAGTAGATAGCGACAATTAGACAGAAGGTGAATCATCGATGAGAGATTTCGATCGAATAGTGCAAGATATCATCGTTCCATATTTGCACTAAGTGTTGCTGAATCCATTCAACAAATATACGACAAGCTGTCTCATATCTGTACTCCGTGGTTTATGTTCGTCAGTTCAGAAGAGATCCAATGAGATGCAATTACCTTTTACATCGGTATCTATTTGCCAAATAGTTCAAGCAGTAAAAAAGGCATTAATTGTCAACTTTTGGAATATCATAAACCTCTTAGTTATCATTAATTTTGTGTGGTTTTGAAAAATAATGTTTTCAATTAGAACAAGTCTTTTAAAATCATTTATCAAATGTTCTCAAAAAGAAAATGACTCATCCTTTTGAAAAAGAGTCACTTCTTGGAATTAGACTATGCTCTATTTATAAAAAGGATGAAGCAAAACAGCAACATAAATTATTCGAAAATCTAGTCAAATGTAAGTGTTGCGCTTAAATTCCCGATCCTAGTTCTATTGAGAGCGCACGACGAAATCAGCGGAAAATTTTCCATGCCAGTCAGTACATTCGGAACCTTATGTTTAAAAAAAAAAAACGAATTTTTGTTCTAAACCTTTTTTTTTTTTTTTTTTTGAAAAAACAAATTCGGAAAACTTAAATCTTTGCAAACAAAGCTAAACCGTTTTAAACAAATTATTTGAAGCAATACTGGAATATTCATCTCACGTTAAGAATGCAGTATTCAAATCTGTCAAATGAGATTTTGTCGCATAAAAAATGTCTACCTAATAGAGAAAGCAGTAAATAAACATTGATTGATTTAAAAATTGATTTACATTTAAATATTGATTGTTTAAAAAGTACTTGAACTTCTGCTTGAAAAAAAATATGATCAAAAAAGGGGACAATAATATGAGAAAAAATCAACAAAAAAAGAAATTTTGATAAAATTCCTTTGCTGAGTTCATTTGCAACCGTTTTCTATCCACTTTCCTCAACTACTTCCAAAGAGAATACAAATTATAAGTGTCAATTTTCACTACGCCTTTTTGAAGATACTGTCAACTTCAATGTCCTAGAAATATTTCGGATGAGCTGTTTTAAAAGATCAATTTAATCTAAATTATAATAGTAAAAGATGTCAAATTGAATATTTCCAGATGAAACAAAAAAAAATAAGTGTACCTCATATCATTAGATCAGAAAACATCTCAAAGATGGCGTTAAGACTGATCGAATGAAACTTTTATCAGATAAAATAATTCGTTCTCTGCCTCCCACTCAGCCAGTCTTACCTCACAAATAAAACCATCAACGATCGTTATGGGTAAGATCATGACCGTTCCCACGTGAGATTACAACAACATTCGTCTATGATGCTTTTGGGAGACATAGAAAGAATGTGATACGAGCAAAGTGGAAGGATGATTTCGACAAAACAAAATGCACTTCGCTTATTTATATATATTCATATACATTCATAAAACGAACATTTCCAATGGTGCTGAAATGTCGTGCAGGCGATATTGTCAGTAAACTGGGAATGGGTTGCATACGGCTATTACAACAACTTTGATATTGATATTTTAATCATTTCATGACATCTTAGACGTGCAGCTTCCTTATGCTCACTGTAATTTTTTTTATTTCCTCAAATTCCTTTCGTTCCTTTTCCAATCTTTCTTCATCTCGCATGTATAGATGATAATCAATCAGCAACCACATACACTACATTATGAGACAACACTTCTTTTTTATAGAAAATGGATCAATTTCCCCAAATATTCTATTATTTCCAGCACTCAATCAAGTATCGCTGCTTCTTTATCACTTATCGCTGATATGTTGTTTCTTGCAGTCTTCTACTTCCCTTTTACTTTGTTTACGAGAGGCTTGTCGAATGCCATTTAGTTAATTCACTGGAAAGATGAGGACTCCTGACTCAACGATTTTCAGAAAAGATCGAAAAACGGAAGTATATACCTTGAAAAATGGTATTTCCGTAGTGCGTCCCGCAAGAAATTAGCATTTAATGCAAAGTAACTACTTATGCATAATGTGAGAACTATATATTGATGTAATGGAAAGCAAAAAACTCCGTAACTAAAAGTACTGTACAACGAGAAGGTTAAAATAGTGCAATGGTGCCATTCGATAAAAAATTGATTATTTTTGAGTTCATTAATTTTCCGACAAAGCTGTGAATTTTTTCTCCAATCTTTATTGAAGGCCATTTCCTCTAATCATTTAGTAAACGATATATTTATTTTACATTCCTTCAAATATTCTTTAAAAATTAACATCTGGAACCCAATTTATTGATAAGATCAATGCTATATGTAAATCTGACCAATGCTATATTGAATAGTGCAAGAATAGTTCGCCTATCAGCAGCAGTATCTACTATTATTATTATTGAGCAAAAGCCAACACAACTCTTTTTTACGAACTATACAGATGCTTTTAGTATGTGTTTGCCCGGTATTCAGTGTGATATGTTACGAAAACATAAATAAAGAGGAAAAGTAGTAGCAGGAAAGACTTCTGATATTTTAAACTGATATATCATAAGTTTTAGATCCGTCGAAAATTTTGTTTAGAACAAATCTTCTCTCTTTTTGTAGCTCAAAAAAGTAATCACTGTAATTCTGACAAGCAACTAAACTGGTACTGATGCCCTCTAATAATGTTAATGAAGTTTAACGTTCATCAAATATATTTCAATTGTTTAGTAAGCCTCCGCATATTAGAAAAAAACCTTCAAATACATCAGGAATAAACAAAAGTATGCCTTTTTGGAATGATAACAATTTAAGAGGAATAGCTCCATTGTTAGTTCAATTTATGATGAGAATAAGAATTTAGTGAGCTTACCAGAGAACATTAATTAACGGAAATGAAAAGTTTAAAAGTACTTTCTTTCAAAGACAACGAAGTTAGTTTGAGAACAAAATAAAATTATAGTATTTCTGTACACCTGCTTAACTGTTTTTGTAATTCACTTATATGATCAGAATGCAATTTTCCGGACTAACTTTCATTCAGTTCTTTTATCGTCTTTTCACTAACGTAAAGACTTCCAAATATCGTTCTCATATGGTAATCTTCAATTTTGAGATAATCAATTCTATACGTATATTTCTATTTCCAACTTTATATATACATGTCTATTCCATAGCTCAGTTTCATTTATATCAAATGCATTTAAACTCTAAAATGAAATGTAGTAGGTGCAATAAATTCTTCAATTAATTCAAATGATCCAAAAATCCTCATTTTCTATAAAAATCGCGATTGAATCACAATAGAACTGGAGTGCATCTTAGAAGAGAGGGAAGCATCAAATACTCACAATTTTCAAACTGTCACAGCAGCCATGCAATTAAGCTTTAAATACCTTCTTTCGGACAATGAAGAATACAAATATTTCTCTTTTTTTTTTTTTCATTTTCTAAATGCTATAATGGGAGAATTCAAGCGAAAAAATTTTGTATAGAACTATGCCTTGACAGAATATGGATATCTCATTTCGATAAAAAAAGATGGCCAAATACTGATTCGCTTTCCAACCAATCTATCTGAAAGGCACGATGCGTCATTTCCGGCATTTCCTTCCTACAATTCATGCCTTACGATAATTTGTCAGCATCTGCATAAAATCCTAGAAAAATAGCCTTACCGCCGCCTCCGCCGACCACCGTACCACTACTGTAGTTTCCGGATTGTCGGCTCTGAGTACGTACTGCTGTACGCGGCTGGATAGTGGAACGATAAGCGATTTCATATTCGCTTTCAGCACTTTGTTTTGAGGATGACATTTCGTCCTTCGTCTCTTCCTTTTAAATTTTCAGATAACTGAGAGAAGTAAGAATTTCTCAACAACAATTGGAAGCTCACACTGAAATGATGTTTCATGCAAATTTTAAGTTAGAAAATGAAACGTAACGCGGTGCGATAAAAGATAGATGTACGAGACGAATGGAACAGCGCAACATTCAAATTATGTGGATTTTTGATGTTCACAAATTTGTTAAACCATAAAAAAACTATCCTACACGAAATGCATACATCCATCTCAGTAAGGAAATTCGAAAAAAAAAAACACCATTTGAAGGACGAATATGAGATTTGTGATAAAAATTTTATTAAACGTCAGACTGTTACGCTGAATTAACAGTTATAATGAAATAGAAATATGTATGTATGTAGGATTGATGCGAATAATGAGATTAAGCATAAAAATGAGCATTGATTCAAACTGGTCAAATATTTCCTATGACAAATAATTCGGTTGTATTAACAATTATGACCGAGCAACTCTTGCAATGAATACAACGTAGCTTTCATCTTTTCAATGCAAACATTCACAGCAGCAGGTGAACTAGTGAGGATATAGAAGTCTTAGGCTTTTCACATGCAAAAGTGTAACACAGATGGACATTGCATATAGAAGTATGAATTACGCGATTCGATCCAGAAGTCTGGTACATCTTATAGCAGCAAACATGCGGTTACGTCAATCTATTTCTTTAACAAACGGATAAACCCATCAGGAAAGATAAGAGAATAAGTTGTTCAGCGGTTTTATTTTTAAAGAGTTTTATAAAATCTTTAGCTAGAAGTACTAAAGAATCCGCAATAATCGGGAATAAATCTTAAACACCTGCTTCACTCGAATTATTATATATGTGTCTGTTCAGTATCATCAAAGAACAAAACGTTCTCTGGAGTCGACGAATAATTTTGTGCTGGTAATAAATAAAAGAAATATTAACACTGAAATTCTTATCTACGGAAAATAAGTAATTCGTGTGACTATAATAAGAGACAACATATGTTATTCTGTATATATCGGTAACTAAACAGTTACAAAAATTATGCAAATCACTTCGAGTTTTCTACTGCTCGACCACACCACACCGCCTCTTCTGATAGAACTACCGTATACATTATTTTTGGCATTGCACTTTTGATTAGAATATGCTTCAACAACAAAAGAGTGCAGATGTGAATTCTCCAACTAATAATGTTATGATAACCGAGAATAGACAAATATTATTAACCGAATGAGTAATATTCAGTTATTGAACTACCATCTTACGACTGCTATGAAATCCGTAACAAGATGATGGCATTTGAGATCTTAACGGATCAGCTACAAATTTCACAACATGAAAAATGATAATTGTTGTAAAAAACAGAATCCTGCATATTTCGTTTTTCTGTTTTCAATAAATTCTGTGCGATAATAAGAGCAATTTACTTAATTTCTGACTGTGGAAACATATTCAAACTTCCCTCACTGTTTCTTAAATGTACGAAGCTCTACGCATGTCCCATAGAACAATTTGAGCGATCTTAAGTGAGAATTACTGAGCAAAAAGTGTAGACGGACATCAGATCAGAAGTGGAAATGACATCAAAATTAAAACTTTTTATGAATCCTACGAAGGGAGAATATGAGGTGAAGCAGTAAAGATTCGAGGCCTCAATTGACTTTCTCTACTTCAAGTATTTTTAGCATTACAAGAGCTAAATAGTTATTCATGAAGCAAACATTCCACAAAAGCATATTGAACAACGACCCTTCAGTCAGCCTACCAAATTATCATAATGATAATAGTCATTCATTCACTTTTGTAGTTCTTTTGGCAGATAATGGTAATATATGTTTGGCCTATTCATCTTGTAAAATACAATAGAACTAAAAGCAGAAAGTTGATTGAGAATACTTGATCTAAGCTCTTGAAATGTGCACATATCAAGAATCTTCTGGATCATTCTTCACGTCCAAACAGTTATTTAATAAAAGAAAAAAATGATTTGTTCAAGACTGACAGCCCGATACAGTAAGGTACAAATCATTCCCATGCATGAAAGTGACTATTATCATGTAAAAAACACCGCTTATAAATTAATTACAAAAAATCATTTAAGGTATAAATGATATACTTCAGACTTTTTAAATTACTACTCAGCACCACTCCAAAACCGTTTTACAGTCTGTGATAATAATTATAAAATTTCAGAATTAGCATGACTCCCACAAAGACTGATTTCGCTTCTCATCTTGCGAACTGTAATGATAATGAATCGTCGAAAATGGTGTCCCGTACGCAAGGCCTTTCTATTTTATTTGCCATAGATATATCGATTTCATGAACTTTGGAAATGTTGAATTTATTAGCAGTAAAACCAAAACTGCTTGAAGTACTTGTGAATTAATATTCGATGCAGGAAAACTTTGGTTTTAATTAAGTTCGAAGACAAAGAATTAAAACTATAGAATTGTATATGTAAATAGTGAGGGAAAATTTTATTCCCGGAAAATTTCGCTAGCAAAGAATTTTTCGATTTTCGTGAATCTCGTTAATGTGCATGGAAAAATTATATATTGATTGAAAATATATAATACTTATTGCACGGAATGGTCACTTTATTTTAATATTACAAATTCACTCAAAAATTTCTCGAACTGATTTTACCTTTTTCATGCACTTTCCCCCAAAAAAATATCAAGAAATGAAGGAATAGAAGTTCCCTTTGTTCATCACCAATTGCTTTAGAGAGGGAGTAAAACTTTAGCAGAGAGAGAGAGAGAGAGAGACAAAGAGAGAAAGTAAGCACCGAAATTCCCTTAAACGAGTCCTTTCAAGTTTTGAAGTAGAGAAAAACACAATGTTTGCATAAATGAACAGTGGGAGATTTGTTCAGCTCAGTTAAAGTAGTGCATGTATGTGTTACTACTGCACAGTTCTGAACAAAATGCGCTGAAGGAGATTGGGAAGGCATCAAACATACTCTCCGCACCTTCACAAATAAAGCTTCACTTTTTCAAAATTAATGGCAACAGAGTTAAAAATACCAGAAAATTATATAAAATTAGTCAGCATAGTTACTTATTCGAGTTGCATTTATCTTTCTCTGAAAGATAACAAAGAAGTTTGTTGGTTCTAGAATTATTGCACATAGCTATTTCAAATACAAACAGATCTAAATCGGGTAGAAAGAATCAGTTATCATTGACTGACAAATACATTCAGTAGCCATTGCCCATAAAGCAACTAACTGCAGCTGCAGCAGCAGCAACACAATATTCTTGACATAGAGAATACTCTGCTATGCGAGACGAGAGCTAAACGCGACATCTCCCATATAAACAGATGGCAGGTGGTTCTTACAAACAATGATGCTTAAAAGTGAACTGATAACATCTCTCTCTGCTTTCCACTGTATACTACTATAAACGCAGAGCACCAATAAGCCTTCTTAAGAAATAAGTGACCGATTTGTCAAATTTTATTCCTATCCACAAAAATGGCCAATAATCCCACCTAAAGATGTTCTTCCTTGTGTTCGCAAACAAGACATAAAATCCAATATTCCGTCCTTGTCAGCATTAATTGTGTTCACTTGAATCTGACCGCGGTCATTACACCTTATGAATATTCCCTTACACCTCTCTCGTGGTAGGATATAAATATGGAGTTTAACAAGTCAAAATTTAAACCTTACTTACTCTCGAGTATGTTTTCAGAATTCACTTATACTGAATATGTTTTCAGAATTCACCGTATATCACCTTCAAAGTGATTATAAATCACTTTCACTTGACACTTACTCTGTTACTGTTGGTCTTAAAATCCAGTTACAAAAGATGAAATAGAAAGTCTTGAATGTGACACGTTTCATCTCAGTCAAATTTCGCTAGACGATGGTTTTACGAGACGGCTCAAGGGATATCATCACTCTGAACATTGTACTGTAATCCACGAATACTTACTTACTGCAAAGCTCCCATACTTCTCTACAGATCAGTCATTCCAACAAATAACAAGAATAACTAGGCTTCTGTAATCATCTTAAAATAAGTACGAGTACCAGTATTCAATCCAGCAGTATACAACCAAGAGCTACTTAGATTTGTAGCAAGGACTATTAATAACACTTTAGAGATTTCGAGGCTGAATTCAACAATTCTAAAATAAACTTAATCTTTGCTGGAATGACCATATGTAACATCTTTCAAAGCGAATTTATATCTTATATAGTCTTTTATAGTGTAAAAAGCGTAAGAGCTAACATCGTACTAATTTTAACTATTCTTTTTATCTATTAATTAATCATTGAAATGATGATTAAGAAAAGTAGAAAGGTCGAGAGCTTTAATTTAAACGAATATAAATTCCCGCAATTTATTAAAAGAAAAGTAAAATTTAAGAGTCTCATTAGCAGTTTGGGTGAATTCAAAAAAGTATTGAAATTGGAATGAAGGAAGCAGGTTAATTTTTTATTATATCTAACCATCCATTTGTGACAACCAAAATCGTTTTAAAAACAATCGTTACATCTTTCCTTTATTTAATACTTTCTTCTGATTGTGAGAAATAAAATGTGAAAATATTTAACTAAATAGCCAAGATTCTATCTGTTCTTACTTTATTGGATCCAGATGTTTGGTAGCAGCTAAAGATCTTTTCTTTCAAAGGAAAACAAAATCCCGAGGAATCGTCAAAACCTGGTAAAATAATATAATTTTAGAAATGGAACAGAATAAAATTCAGGTTACAAAATCAGATTTATTGTTAAAAATTATGTTTTCTATGGACTTCGATTGTAATTTGGAAACACTTCTAACTTCCCCTCAATGAATTAAATTAAAAGTGTTATCATCAGGAAGAGAAAATTCTCTGGAAATCTACAGAATCTTTGACAGTGAGTGATTGGTTTGTGAATGATATCGTAAATAGCATGTAAAAAGGAATGAGCATCTCATTTCTATCCTAAGAAGAAATGGGCAAGGAAGAGTAGTTATTGA